ACTAATGGTCGCGGGATGGGCCTCCCGTCCCTCTTGCTGGGCAGATCCCGTCGTTGGGCGCCAGGGTTGCGGACAGGCTTTAAAGTCTTCCAGGGTCGCACAGAATCCCAGAGGACGCAAACAACTCCGACACACCAAAAATCTCATTGGCAAGGCCCTGGTCGAAGCTTGACTTGGCCACCAACTATGAAGCACGCTCACCACAAGACAACTGATGAAAATGCCAACCAACGGTCATCTCGAGGATTTCGGGTCTGATCCTTGAGACAGCCGCCTTTTCGCTTCCGACATCAGAGCTCCAAAAAGAGAGAGTTGTGCCATGCACGGTGCTTAAACGACAAAGATCGGCAAAGCCCCCACAGACCCCAAAGTTGCACAAGGAAGTTTGTGTGAAGTCATGCGGGACAAACATAAAACGCAGAAAAGGGAGGTGACAGGACGGGACTCCTTTCATAAGCATCCTTCAGGCATCAAGCACCCAAAGCACACACGCTCAGCAACAGCAAAAGATCATCCGTCCTGCAGGCTCGCCGAGAACGTCGCGAGACCTTGGCTGCTTTTCAGGGCTTTTGCACAAGCCCATACACCAGACTGAATCGACACAATCCTGCGATCCCGTCAATGAGATCCATGCCATCCTTTTGAACTTCCACGAAGGTCATGTCTTCGGAAGTTGCCTGCCCAAGGCTGCATTCGAGTCGCTGTAGCCGTGGCAGAGCCTTGCCTTCTTATGCAAGAAGTAGAAGATGGCACCACAGCCGATCAGGCCCTTATTGGTTGGTTTTGGGATCATCGCCACGCTGCACGTCCATGTTCGTGTTCCTATAGTCCTATACGCTCCTGCTAGGGCTTCTCAAGGTAAGGAAAGGACCAGCATCAGGAACAGCATGCCAAACTCGGATCGGACAAGCATGGGAGAAGTTGAAGAAATTACACCATGCGCGTCAAACAGCCTTGCTTAGAACTTTGCACTAGCCGACGGTTCTACTTTTGACCTTTGCTGTGCAGCTATGCGGCTGCTCTGCAGGAAATGCACGGACTTGGATAAGGATCCTGGCAGCGCTTCAGAGGCTAAAAGCATTCGTGCTGGCAAAGCCTGGCTGGAGCACGTAGGGACCCACGGGAACATCAGTCACCCCTTCTTGCTCAGACCTTAACGAGAATCTGCGAAGCATTGCCAAGCCCGAGTGACCCGAGTGACCCGAGTGACCCGAGTGACCCGAGTGACCCGAGTGACCCGAGTGACCCGAGTGACCCGAGTGACCCGAGTGACCCGAGTGCCGTGCAAGGCGAGCCATCGAGCTCAGGCCGCGGCAGCTTCTTGTACACATCCAAGGTGCCAATCGACCAGAAGGCCTCTGAAAAGACCTCGCAGCTCAATACCCTCGAAAGACCCTTTACAGCACCTCTCCATGGGCATATCCTGGGGCTTCATCGGCTTCATGTCCTGTACACTTCGGTCCGCCGGGTCACTGCTCTTTTTTCTCATGCTTCTCGGTTTCCCATGTAGCAAGAAAGAAGGGTTCACTGTGAAGCATTGGAGTACATGACCTGACAGGGCTGACACACCCCTTGGGGTCCGTGAAAAACATCCCGGGTCGACGCTGGGAACGGCGTGTGATGCCGCAACTAACGCACGAGACACCAAAGCAATCGGACTTTGATCTCGCGTAATCTTATAGAGGATCTCATGCGAAACCTCACCGGCGCAAACGAGAAGAGCTCTGGCCGACACCAGAAGACTTTCTTTTGGGCGGCCCATGTGCAACTGCTGTGTACTGATTGGCCTCGTGCCCACGTGTAATTTTGAGTTGTGCTGTGTGCAGATGTGGTTGCGCTGTCCGTGCTCTGTGGCGTTGCCGTCCGTGCTCTGCGGAGTTCGTGCGTATGGTGGGCTCTTCGTGGCGTCCAAAACCGCCTTGTGTGTGTGTGTGTGTGTGAGTAGCAATGTGTAGCAATGTGTAGCAATGTGTAGCAATGTGTAGCAATGTGTAGCAATGTGTAGCAATGTGTAGCAATGTGTAGCAATGTGTAGCAATGTGTAGCATGTGTAGCAACGTGTAGCAATGTGGCTGGAATACGTTATTGAAAGCTTTGGAGTGGAATGCCTCTAGCCTGTGATCTGGCTGTGCAAAGGGCAACGGTCTACAAACCATACCTCAACATAAGAACGCGCACTTCAATTATGCTTTTTACCTTGGCCCAATCTGGCCTAATCTTGCTGTGCCCTCCTTGCTACAAGAGCTGTTGTCGCGCAGTGTAAGCCAGAAAGACATACTCGAGCAAACAACCCAAGAATGGCCAGATCAACCTTGCTACGTCCAGCTAAGCATGTATCCAGTAGCTGGGAGGCGTGCTTTGGGGTTCTTCTGGACATACTCCGGGCAAGACATTCCTCGCTGTTCAATCGCTCGCACGCTGCTTTGGCGCGTGAGGCCATGCCAAGTCTGGGGCCGGTATTGGGGCAGCTTTGGGCAAAGGTTCCCCCACCTTAGTCTTCATCGAGCATAGCAAAACCCTCGCAGGAGAATGTAAGGAGAACTGCCCTGTTGGAACCCATGTTGGGGACAACGCCAAAGTCCCCACAAAAGGTGATGTCGAAGACCATCCCTCAGAGCGTCAACGCATTGAGTGACAGCTGCAGAGCCCTTGAACGGCTTAATCTCCCCAGCTTACCCCGACATCACGGATCAGCTAACAGAAGCCAAGCTGGAAGCTCATCCTCCGAAAATGCCGCGCATCTTGGTGGGACGTGGCAGTGACTTCTTGCCATGACTGCCGTATGGTGACGGGGGGAATCCGGAAATCCTACTGGCCACCACTGACAACCTGAACTTACAGGTGGCTGACCAGGTACTGACTGGGCCATGGGCTGCAATCGTCTTGCTTCAATGAGAAGAAGGAGGCGGGTTTACCCCAGGTCGCTGGCCTCTGAAGTCAAAACTGCAAAAACCATGGCGGACATCTCTAATTTTGGTTGTTGACGCGATTTATGTTCGCCTCCTACACATGCGGCAGTTTTCCCTTTCCACTCTCTGCACCCTCTGTGCCCTGGCAGGCAGCTGCCCCATCATCAGGCTGCGCATATCCTTTGGACAGCCCTCGAAAGCTTGCAGCCAAGCCAGTGTAAGACAAAGGCTATGCCGGCGATGCAAAATGCAAAACCACAGTCTGCGTGATGCCGCACCATGATGCACACGAACCCTTGGCGGTCCTGCCCTCAGCATCCGACACAGGTCTCTTCTCAAGTAGATCTCGAGGCGCCTCTTCACACAAGTTCGACATGCACACCTTGAGATAGCCGAGCAGTAAGCCCGAAAGGATAACACCCAGAGGTCAAGAAGCTTGATTGCCTTCCCGCGGGGGAAGAACCACGTGCCTGAAATGCAGCTGGGGCTAGCGGGACAAGATGCGGAGAAGACTCAGCCCTGGACGGATGTACTCCTTCTCCGGATCCCACTCAGCGGCCCAAGTCGCACCCCCAGCCTGATGCGCCAAAAGCTTTCGTGCTCTGGGCTCTGGACGTCTCTTGACGTCTCTTGACCCGTTTCCAGTCCACAACGCCCATGACCCAGGAGCTGAGGCAACAAAACACAGGCTCTTTGTCCTTTAGGTTTGATTTCTTTTGCAGATCAGGGAAAGAACAGCTCCACCATTCATCTTCGTTGCGCTGAAACCTTTGCAATCGCCGCCAAGACGAAGGCTCCTAGCAACTCCCGCTTCCTTTGGGCATTATGGCTTCTCACTCCTCACTGCATTCGTTCATGCGTTACTTGCATATACTTGTTCGGTCACACGAGCTTTTGAGCACCGTCTAGCAGCCCACAAACAAGCCTGAACAACAAGCATGCCAAAAGCAGCACAAAAAACGCATGCACTTAACGAATCAAACGACTTTCACTCCTGGCTCGATTTGACCATCTTCGCGCGACTTGCTTCGCCACATAGCCAGTGGAGCCGAAGAACGAATGAAGTAAAACACAACAGAACGAGCCAAATCAACCCGGCTCCTTGCAAAAGCTTCGGTGTGAAGAACATAGTGCCGAGCAAAGACAAGCCAGAGAAGTGAAACCGTGAAACGGAAGGCATGCCCAAATTCTGTCCTATTGGTAGTTTGCCAAGCAAGAACGAACACAGGGATGCGATCACCGGTAACATTCATGGCCTTCGCTTTGCGCCTGCCGCGTCCTTCTTGTTTCTACAAAAAACCTCTACTGTTTCCAAACGCCAAAGTGAGTTGAAAACCGGATGGACCAATCCGAAAGATCCAGAAAGCTTTTCTGGAGGCCGCCTCTCGAGGGCCTTCTTGAGCTCTCCCGAAAGTTCTTTCTTATCCGGCGTGGTTTTTTGGGGCACTCCCGGGGCTTTCTGGTGACTTTTTTGTTGGGCCCTCCCGGGATCGTTTTTTGGACTTCTGCTTCTTGTTGTTCTTCTTTGCCGTGGTTGCTGTTGGTGTTGGTGCGGTGATTCTGCAGCCAAGGGCTTTGAGTCCCAATGCTTGATTTACTGCAGGAATGCCGGCATATTTTCTGGAGTGGAGCAGCCCTAATGGGTCTACCTCGGGAAGTACCCGCCCATGAATGACCTTTCCATGTGTCCCCATGGCCCAATCATACTTGGCACGCATCGATTTTGATTCAGGAGGTATATTTCCGTTGCCACCTCAAGCAAGACCTACACCCAAAAGCATCGGATTTCAGATGCACGAGCTTGATCAGGCAGCAACAAGGGAAATAATACCCTATTTAAGCTAACAAAAAGCACTTTTCGCCCGAACCCATATGGAGCCTACATCAGGTTTGCAGCTTTCAAACCTATCGGATCAGGAAGTATTGTCTGCAAACTGCTCAAAACGCTTTCATCGCTGTCCTCACCAGTGCGTAAAGGTGAACACGGGCACACTGAGTTCCCGATTCCAAGCCCAATCCGACAAAACAAGGCAAAGAACGAGCCCGTCATTCAGCACCGGTACCAGCAAGACCGTATTTTCCCTGCCTGGTTCAACGGCCGCCCGAAGGAGCCATAAGGCCTTGCATGTTCTGCATACTCACTAGAACTGCTAGGACTCTGTCAGAACCCTGTGTCAGCACCGCTGCAGGAAAAGGCCCGGACTGATTCTGGCCACACCCCTGGTTCGTGAACTCGTTCGGGGCCTGCTCTTCCGACGCGACACGACACTGATACGACTGTATCGACTGTCCATTCTGACAGCCATCTTTACCAGCTGCGTGCCTTGCCTTGACGAAGCAGTCTTTCGCCTTTGTGCCATATTTGCCGGCCACCCACCCCTCACTGAAGTCCACATGGCTTTGCACATCTGTCTGATCCTCAGAATCGAGCTCTCACAGGGGGCTCTGACAAGTCTCAGAAATGGAAAGAAAGAGCATGAAAAAATTAACTTATTAAAGCAGATTCAAAGATGGGGCCGAAAAGCGCAGTCCGATCGCGTGTGGAGCGTGGTCGCAGACTGGGTGCGGTTGTGCACGGACTCCAGGATGTCGTACTCGCCCCACCGGGGCCAGGCCTCTCCCCCAAGAAGAAGGAGAGCTTGCTGACAGAGAGAGAACTCTTCTCATGCTCCCATGATGCTAGCATGATGCCCCTCTCATCCTCTGGGCCGCCCCACGTGCTGCGCGTCCTAGGCAGAGCTCACATCTCGTCTCGGCAATCGGAGCTCCGAAACTCCAAGAACTCCGGTTGATGATTTCCAAGGCCTCCCCAAACATCCAGAAGGCTGGCCACGTACCACAGCCGACAGGTGCCTTGATCTGTAACAAGCTACCACCGACTACACCTGCTTACCTGGTTGAGCTGCAGCATGGCAACAACCCAATATGGCTGTATGACTGCTGAATGGCAACTGCACAGCCGGGCCCATCGCGTGATCGATATCCAAGACGATAAGTCCATTCCTGAACCACTCGTTGGACCTCGATCACGAGGGGAAAGGCATGGAAAAACGTGTCCCGAACTCACGCACTTCTGAAAGACGCAGAGAAGCAGTCTTCCAGTCTTGGATGCCCACTCGATTCGAACCTGACAGATAATCACGAGCGAAGCGGCGAAGCGGCGAAGCGGCGAACACTTTGAGATCTTGGATTCGCAACTCCATGGAGCCCACCTCCCCTAACATCACTGAGAGACACAAGTGACATCCAGTGACGCAACTGCCGTTGACTGCAGCATGCAGACTCAACTTGACTCAAGTCCGTACAGGGGGCGAGGAGGGGCCGTGGAATTTGGAATCAAAACGTTATGAGCAAGAGCTGCAAACTTCGCTAGCAAAGCCGCAATCTCATGCCAGGGGTGGGTAAGGAAAACCTGTAGGACGTCCCGTTTTTGTCGGACGTCCTCTCTCGGATTTCGTGGAACTTCCTTCCGAATGCTGTGACTGGCCCGGAGGGCTCCATGGGCATTGTCACGCAAAAGAAAGCCTTCTGCAAAGAGAGAGCACCCACTAAAATCACAATATAACACAATCAATATCGCAATACCTCCCAGTTCTGTAGACAGCCGAGTCTCGGTTTTGCGCCCTTCCGTCGGCCCAAGAACCTATAGCGAAAGGAACAGAATGCAATGCGGCAGGTCATTAGCTGGGCGGGACATGCCGGTGCGCCTCTGAGGCATCTGACCCCATGTAGACTCGGTCGAACGAGGCATGGATCAAGCCTAGCCAAGCCGACTCTGCCCCCTCGTTGCGACATCATGGCTTTATTTTTCCAGAAAGTTTGTGTTGCGATTAAGACATGCGAGACTCAGATGCGAGCCTTGCGCAGTGGCCTCCTCGAAGGACAGGAACTTCACCTGTCGTTGTGCGACTTTGGCGACCTGTAGAACGCTTGCGCCCTCCAAGGCTCTGAGACGCGTGCTGTTCCCTTGGTCGGATCTGGGCCGACAAAAAAGGACCACTTCGAAAAGAAGTCCTCGCCTTGGCACACAGATTCTTGCATTCTTCTCAAAACCTGTTGCAGCTTGCGCACAACATCATTTGTGCGTAATCCGCCTCTCTACCTTCGGACGCTTCGAAGATAGAATCTTCTGTGATTTGAAGATAGAAGCTGAGAGAGAAAACTCCTCTAAGATTGCAGAGACAAAGAAGACCAGCGTTCTTGGAAAACAGCGGGTTGGGCGGGAATAACACCGCATAGGGAGTAGACCGCACGTGTAGGGTTGGGGGGGAGGCAATGGCCCCAATCATCCCAAAGCTTGGAAAATCTGGTCTCCCGTAGGTTGGGCTTGGAGGCCCTGAACAGTCGAGAGACCAATTCTGGGAGGTTTCAGGCCACAACGCTTGGAAAATCGGGTCTCCCGTAGGTTGGGCTTGGAGGCCCTGAACAGTCGGGAGACCTATTTTGGGAGGTTTCAGGCCACAAAGCTTGGAAAATCGGGTCTCCCGAAGAAGAGCAAGGTTTAGGGTTTAGAGTCTGTAGTTTTGACCCCCCGCCCCACGCGTTGTTATTCCCCCCTTTTTACCCACCGCTACTGCGCGCTCTCCACAGAAGACACAGCCACTGAGGCCTGGGCCCACATAGGAGTGCGTCAAGACCTCACAACACAAGGACCAACCAGAGCGCTCAGAATACACAAAAGAACAGTGTGCTCGCAAAGCATGCCAGACACACGTAGCCATCGGAACCTTGGCGAGGCGCCCACACCTCAAGAAGATACGCACTTTCACTGTTTCACAGTTTCACACATACAGCATGTGGTGGGGGCACAAATGAGGGCCAAGCGACGCAAAGCAGAAGCGCAACTACCGCAACCTCGTGCCACTTGCTCGGCTATGAATGAAGGCTTACTCACAAACGACCGGCCCACTCAGAGCAACGCAAGCACGGTCAAGGTCACGGATTTGACATTTCAACGATCTCAACGTTTAAGCGTCTGTACGCATCTGTGCTTGTCATTCTTGAGGAAGAGGCCACTGCCAGAAACCAAACAGTCCCTTTGTTCAACCTGAGGACGGGTGGCTTGCACAAACAGCAAGCTCTTCTGATACTCGGTAGGCCTCGCAAGACCTGTATCATCTTCTTCGCCTTGGGGGGCATCGTATGAGTGCTCATGAGACGCTTCAGCTCAAAGCGCCTAAGCATTGCACCGAAGCCCTTTGACATCCGCGCTCTGGCACAACCTGGCACAAAGGTGCAGCGGGCGACTCCCCAGCCGCAAGCTTGTGAACTTCGCAAGTGAACGACGTGCATTGCTTGTGTACAGCTTGCTTTGCCGTTTTCTTCGGAACATTGAATCAGCCCAACTAGGGCCGAACCAAAACCGAACCAGAGCCCAATGAAAAGTCTTGGCCGAGACTTTCAGCGGCTTGGTCAAACCGCTTGGGGCAACCTGCGCGCCTTGGAGAAAAGCGTCTGCGAATGGATCTGCAAAGCTCTGCGGAAGAACTTGGCAGAGTCATGGAGTGACCGCGGTCCAATCCAATACGGTCATTACAGCTGACAGCTCATCCATCAGGTGGCCATGTGAAGACGTGTCTCTTGCGTCCTGTGTGTGTCTGCCTTACTTACAAGTCTTCTTCGAGCTCCATAGCGCGCTGCTGAAGTGAACACTTGTCAGAAGCTTCAAAATGGCGAGATATTGATGCCGGTTCAAGCGACGTGAAGTGACGGCCATCTCAAAGCGGCAGACTCCTTTTTCCATCTTTGCTTTGCCCTCCCCAATGTTCTGGGGTTCACATCAAGCAAACCAAAAGGTTCCAGTGACTGCGGCAAAAGCTTGCTCTTGCTCCAGTGACTGGGAAAAGCTTGTTCTTCAGCAATTCTTCAGTTCCTCAAACAAAATTAAGTTCTCATCTTGTCCTGTGCAGGAGAAGGGATGCTAGGAAAGCAATGTGCCCCTCCTACATGTAGGAGAACAACGACAGTGATTTAAACGGGCACAACGTATCCGATCAATACGACACGCTAGGGACGCTAGGGCTCTGAACAGCATCAGCACATCACGTTTGAGAAGTTTGAAGATGCTCTCGCATTCAAGCAGCGGACACTCCAGGTCGAAGCATCACGGCCGCTGAAAGCCGCTGAAAGCCGCTGAAAGCATTCTGGCTTCTGGGCACTGCGGGCAGATGCGCGATCACCCTTATGTGCAGCCAGAGAGCAGGTAGATCTGCTGTGAAACGGATTCAAACATTTGTTTGTTTCTTTGTTTTGACTCCACATGAACCCAGGGACACGAGGGGCACATGAAGCTTCAAAGTGATGCATACCGGTATACCGGCATACTTTGTTCAAGGTCGAAGATATCAGGAAAGCCCTCAAGTCCCGTTCATAAGAAGACAAATAGCAAAGCTGCCAGCCTTCGTCCAATCCTGGGTCGCAAGCACTGCACATTTAGAGGATTCTTTCACAAAAGGCTCAAAGTTTCAATGCAACCGGCAGAGGTACGTTATTAGGAGTGGCATGTCGGTGTGTTAGCACGTGTGACATTCGGCCGCTTCCTTTTTGTTGGTGTGCCCACAGAAGCAGAGGGCCTCGACTCGATCATGGAGCTTGGTCTGGGTCATGTCCTTGAGCTCGCGTGAACTTGTGTCAACTGACATGAACTTGCTCGTAGGTGCATCTTGGTCCGTGTCTTTTTGTATCCCCCATCTGCATGTCTTGATCCTTAGAACCTAGCCATTGAGCATCATTGAGCGTGAGAGCCGGGTAAACGACGCTTCCACCGAAGTGTCACATTTGCTCACGGAATCGGCATGGTCAATGGGTCTGGGTTTGATGCAATGCAATGCGATGCAATGCAATGCAATGCAGTGCAATGCAATGCAGTGCAATGCAATGCAGTGCAATGCAATGCAATACAAGGCAAGGCAATGTAAGAGTCAAAAACGGACAGTAGAATTTATTAGGTGTTACGCGATCGAGCCATGTTATGAGCAGAGAAATGCAGAGAACGTCAGGGACACAGTCAGGGGATTGGGCATCAAACTGCCACAATCTGCCAAACTGAGCCCCGGACACGATGACCACTCCTCGTCTTCCTCGTCCTTACAATCTACACTGTGGGGCAGTGCTACTACACCTTTTTGATGCAGCAGAGATAATGGATCCATGCTGGTAGGGCTCCTCTAGTGGCCCGAGAATGCGAGCTCTCTGCTCCCCCACCGTCTCCCTCACGATCGTGTACCTGAGCAACAAAACCATCAAAAGGCAGCCCCAAGTGACCTTTGTGAATGTTAAACCTGCCCACTCAGCAAGGGGCAACTCTTCAAGCTTGCAAGCTCGGCGCATCTTGGCACGGCCTCAGTGCAATATCAGGATCCACAGGCACTCAAAAGAGGAACGAGCTTTCGAACCAGGAGCCGAGCTCTGTTCATCGGTCACCTCCAGCATGAAGCCAAGCTCGCTCCTCAAATCATCCCAAACCTGCTGTGGGGTTCAAGCAAAGCCTTGATATGGCCTCCAATGTCACGAACTGTTTCTCTGATGATATGCTCCGCTGGGACCATGTGCCCTAGCCTGTTTGTCTGGGCACAGCAAATGTTTATCCAAGTGGAGCTGCTAAAAAGCGGGTTGCAGAGGTGTAGAAACGACTACTACTTTTGAAGCAACACAGCACCCACTTAGCCATAGGTGAATCAGACCAGCAAAATTTGCTCCGCCTTTTCCCGCCTGTCGTTTGCAGTCTGATTCACATTGAGTGAGCGAAAGCTACGGGCTCCACCTTGAGCGATGAAGTTCAACAATCCTGGCAAATAGAGATACCTGGATAGCCCTTCAATGACGAAGGGTCCAAGGACCACTTCTACATCTGGCACCACTATCCAGTATGCAGTAAAATGCATGCAGGATAGCGGGCACTTCGCGGAATATCTGCCAAGCGCCTGCCACTTGCACGCTGACACGCTGCATGTTTTCAGAGCGCAGAGAGGAAAGAGAGGACAGAGCGTCAGAACTTGTTTGACAAGTGCCACTATACTTGTCAGTGATTTCGTGCTGTGTCATGTTGTGAGAAATCTTTCATTTGGCTGATGGAATTCGTCACTTCGTAAAGCACTGTTGTCTTGCACTTCGATGCCTGAACAAGCATGGAGAAAGGAGAAGTGGTGTTGGTTCGATGGCTTGTGATGTCGGGCCCGACCACACTGTCGCAGCTTTGGAGCAGAGGCCCAGCATGAGCGAATGTGGAGGAGCGCCTTCCGGATGAGGGCGAGCTGCGGGATGCACGCTGAGACTGCACGTGACGCAACTTGCCGGAAGTAGCTGCGCGCATCGCGTTGAGCAGGGAGCGTCAAAGTTAGGACATTGGAGAAGGGGGGCTGAGCAGGAGCGCACCTCCTGCCAGGATGGCTTCATGGCTTCATAGGTCACCGTTGGTGAAAAAGGTATGGCCTTCCGTGCACAGGTGGGGTCCAGGAGCGGGACCGTGACCTCCCAGTCCAGAGGCATACACAGAAAAGGTAGCAAACGCGAATCCCACCCCAGTGACTCGAATACCTGCGGACAGGGACCGGCGGCATTGTGCAACCCGTGTAGTCAGCCTGTTTCGGTGCAGAATTTCTGCCTGATGCGCCACAGGCTCACTAGTAGACATTGCCAAAGCTTCGCAGCTGAGAGTATCCGCTAGCGGTGCTTGGCGAATAGTCTCAGCTCACTGTGGAGGATTTTGCTTTGACGGAAAATGGCGTACGAGTCAACTCAGAATCAATGTGAGCCTGGAAGTCGGCAGGTTGGACTTTGCAAAGGCAGGTGCCTAGCCACTTGGGGAGGACAGCCCGGTAAGCCAGGTCTGAGCCCCGTTCCCGGCTTGTGGCCGCGGAGCTACTGTCGTTGACATCGACGGAAAGCAAAGACTCTCCGTTGGGGATGACTCCATGAGGATAGGAGAGGCCCGCGCAGCACGTGCTACGTGCTGAGGACGGCACGAGACTGGAGGCGCTCGGTCCTACTACCTCCTATGGCCCGCAGGTACCGAAATGCCATTGCAGAAAGGTCGATGGGCTGCTGGTCAATTGGCAGCCTCCTTTTCGCCAGGTGCAAAGGCATTGAACGAAAGCGCTGGGTCTAGGCAGGGAAGGAATATGTCGCTCGACAAACGTGGCACGCGCCCCTGAACAGGCCGTGAGCACCAGGCTTGCGATAGGCCCAGTAACCATGCGGCCGTCGGAACCCCATGCGAACAGCCCGGCCTTGGGTACCCGCACATTAGCAGGAAGCGTCAAGAGGCTTCCGCGCAACGGGGGCTGTTTGCCGAGGATGGTCGTGACACATTCGCTGAAGAGGCTGCCGATGGTCTCCAGGACCCGCATCGCGCCCCCCTCACGTCCTGTGCATATGGCGACCTGTACTGGATGTCGCGAGTGCGCAGATTGCGATCCAAAGGCAAGCGCCGAAGCACGGGGACGGTCAACAAGCACTGCGCAAGGGCCGATGGAGGCGCCAAACTTAGAGAGGCAAGTATCCATGAACTGAACAAAATAACGAATGCAATGGCGCAACGAAAGTGTGGATGGCCTAAGGAACGACATAAACAAAGAGACAGAAGACATGCCGAGGCAAATAAACATAGCGGAGTCGTAGGATGACAAAAGCTTCGTCAACAAGGCTGGTGAACCATCGGCTGCTATGGCATTCGGTCTGTTAGCTGTCCCCTTGAAGGATAATCCTGTCTGTGCCAGTGCTTGTGGCGATCTCATTTTCAAGTGCTAAGGTGGAGCTTTCTCTTCACAAGGATGCATTCTTATCCAGCAAAGCGTGCAAGGAGCAGAGCTTTGACCAAAAAGACCTGAACATGATGAACATGATGGGGATGGCAAAATGCAGAAATTTTGAAATTGTTGTGGTCACACCATTGCTGTGAAAACGCGCAATCAGCTGTGGTCAAAACTGTATGGCGCCAGAAGCTGACAACAGTAGCCTGCTTCTCTTCCTTCTTGTGAATCTCCTTTTGGACCTCCGGCTGAAACTCTAACCTCCATGGTTCTACCAACTAGTAACTAGCATCAACAATGAAAAGAGCTCTTTTGGCCCCAGACAAGCACGATCAGGTCTTGTGCAAGCCAGCCATTGGCCCCGACCGCTTGCTTCACCTCATCCTAACGACACGTGAACTGACTCTCGACTTGATGCAATTGCACTGGACTTGTCATGTTATGTCAAAGCAAAAGTTAACTATAACAGGCGTGGGAGGAGGGGGTGGACGTGGACTGAAAGATAGAGAAAGCATGCAGCGCTGCCTCAAGACCCTCGGTGCTCTTCAGATTATCTTTCAGCTTTTGCTCCAATCCTTTGAACTTCTCCAGGCTGGCGTTCACAGCCTTTTGAATATCCTGTCAGCAGCGAGACTGACAGCAAACTTAAGCAATCCTGCATACAGCACAAGCTTGACAAGCATAAACAAAACTGATTGTGTGTGTGGCATCTGCAAGTGACAATTGAATACGCTTGCGAAAGCAGAGCATGAGGCAGACCAAGTGAGAGAGACCAAGAGAGATAAAAGAGGGAGAGCCGGCCAGCCGTCAAGCAGCCAAGCCAAGCCAAATGGTGCGTCCATTGCTCAAGCTCGTTGCCTCCAATTTCTGTTTCTCGTCCTTTTGATCTTCATACATCCTTATCAGAATCTGACTTGTCAGGGGGCTCTATGTCTCAGCGTTCGAGCCATTCATGCCAAGCATCTTCCTGACCATGAGATGGAGGGTCCCAGTGTACCACTTGCACCTGCAACGTCTTTCAGAAATTGTCGCTGTGTCCGCGGCGGCGAGTTTTTTCTCATGAGTGTACACAGAAACCGTTTGGCGCCACTTCTCTCCGCATTGCGCCTGCTGTCCAAGTCAACCTGCGCAGGCGCCTGGTCCCCTCGGGCACGTCGAACTCGCCTCATTTCAGCCCTTGCGTCATAGGTGAGAGCAAGAGAGAGCACTCGGAGAGCGCCATAGCCATGAGGTGCCGTGACTGTGCCGTCCATTCGGAGCCTACGAAGCCTAGGCATGGGCGCATTGTCTGGTCGTTGATTCTGAGCTTCGTCTCCGATCTCTGCCATGCGCTGGACCAGAAATTGGACCTGCCCAAGCCCCCCCAACGTCCCCCAACGTTCCAACCATACATTGCCATGCATGAAGGATTCGAGAGCTCGAATGCTGAACGAAAAACGACATTGTCTACATGGAGGCCACGCACGGGGACCCAAATTTGAACCAATGAGTTGCCGTTGAAAATGCCTAGTCCGCTCGGAGATGCTGAAAGCGCACCTGGTCATTCCATGCGGTCGGGTTGTTGTGCAAATGCTCCTTCATCAGCCTGGGGGCGACACTAAATCGAATCAAGACTGAAGGCCAGGAACAAGCAACTATCGAACCTCTTTAGTCGTTCCAGGGTGTCGTGCGGCACCTGCCGAACACTCCACTCACTTCCCAGCACTCCACTCACTTGTCAACAAAGAATCAGAGGGGCGCTTTGACAGAGTTCTAAGATCGCAGCGTTGTAAACTGAATTGATGATGCTCCGAAGCCTCCCATGCAGCTTCATCCAGCAGCTAATTTGTGGAAGTTCCTGAGGCCCAAACTCACCGTTCATCCTGTCTTGTGCTTCAAGAAACTGCCTGTGAACAATGTGGAAATACAAGAAACATGCCTGAAGAAGGTACATAAAACGCAGCTGACTCCTGATAAAGCTATGCGTTCGGAAAGACCTTACGGATGCATCTCAGTAGGCAGCGCTAGCAAAGACGCATTTTCCTATGACACAAACACGTTCTCGCGGCTTTGTACAGGCGCACTACACACAGGACAGCTCCTTAATTCTTCTGCACATGACGAACAGCAGCAGAAATGCCGACATGGGCGCAGGACGGTGTTGCGAGCCACGTCCATGCCTCGAGATGGATGGAAGGGATGCGCACCAGCGACACATCAGTTAACTGGCATTTAACTAACGCAAAGACAAATTCTGAACATAATGAACAAAAAATATTCCGATAATGAAACTATGTACACTTGGAAAGGTAACCACCTTGCGAAGACCAAACCAACTTAGAATGCGGCTCCTTGGCTTCGCTGCATCTTACGCTACACGTACGAGGCACCCCGGATCACAAGCTGAAACTCAGTGACATATCACCGTCTCTCATCAATCATCGAGTGCTTCTCCCAACCCATATGATAAGCAGGTAGAACTGGCAGGCGTCCCGCCACAAGCCCAAAACCAACTGACAAAAAGTCACTGTTTGACTTATCTGCCCATGCAGAAGCAGAACCGCTTGGCAACACAAGACTGCCACACTGTCAAGTGGGAGTTGGGGTCCTCGCAACATGCCTGTGAAAGCCAAGGCGCAAATGACACAAGCCAAGACATCTGGACAATCTCGGCTTTCAGGTTCAGGTGTGCTATCCAGTTGCTCACTTAAATCCCTCCAGCGAAGGATGTCCTCGCGAAAGAAGCCAAGGAAGCAGCCCCATCTGGAAGCTGAGCGGAGCATGTTCTGAGTCACGCCCTGCACCAAGACGAAACAAAACGCAGCTGCTCGCAGATGCTCACTACGCCTAGCCTCCTTGAGCTGTCCCATATGCCACCAAGCTCAATGTGTTTGCCCTAGCCTGCCTTGCCCAACTTGCTGGAGTCGGCTTGCGACAAGTGTTGCATCAGGCGGTTCATCTTTACCACACGCTGAAAGACTTGTGCCTCACCGTTGTCTTCACCAAGAAGTCCGCTGTCTTGAAGAAGCCAAAATACCAGAAAATCATTCAATTTCGGCCTATGAGGATCCCCGCAGCGCTTGCCAACCCGAGACGTTTGAACGCCGACCCACAAGTCGCTACTCGCGTATTCCGTACGCAACCGTGTCAGCACAGATGTTGACACCTGTCGCGCGTGCTTGGTAGAGAAGAACGACCTAGGATCCGAAGGGTAGCTGTTCTGGAAATGCAGCAACTCCAGGTGTGCTTCAGAGTCATCCACCACAGCTTTGGCACGAAATTGGAACTTGATGTCATTTCCCGTCTCCTTGTGGAGTCTTTCCATTACACGAACTCGATGTTGGCCATCCATGACGAAAAAACAATGTGCAGGACTGCTCAGGAGTATGAGCAAGTTGATTTGGCCAAAATCACAGAATCGCCCGTGCTTGGACAATTCTTTCAGGTTGTCACGCACCCTCTCATCTACAACGTCGTCGTTGATGGCCCGGTTGCTGCTCATGGACTCAAACCGACAGTTGGACTCCGCAACGTTCTTCCACTGAAGAAAACCAGTGTACACACGGCCAACCGGATCTTTTACCACCAACCTGTTGGCGACGCCATCTTCCATGATGTTTACCTCATCAATTCATCAACGACAAAATCCTGACATGACAAGAACTTCTGAAGAGCCTCGGCAGAGCCTCGGCAGAACGTTGCCAATGCACCCAGAGCTGCCAAAGGTGAGGAAAAAGACCGGGAGGAAGCGCCTTCGATGGGCTCAACGTTGCCGATACGCGGTCGCACCTGCCGCTGCGACTCCATGGCAAGCAACAGTCGTTCACCCAAAAACAAAATTCAACCCTGAAGCTTCCAGCAAATCAAGACTTGTCGACATGATCAGCATCTGTCATCTACATCGCGGTTTTAACCCTGGCAAGGCCTCAACTTTCTTGGATATGCAAAGCTGCGGCCGAATAGTCAGCGCATGCATGCCACTGTGCAATCAGCAGAACCCATTGGGCTTTGGAGCAGACATGCAGACATACATTCAAAACTGAGAGTAGCAAAATCGAGATCTGCGACCTCCGCTGCAAGGCATGACGACCTCTCTGACCCCTGTGTTTTGGTCTTTCATGCTCCTGGCAAGAAAACTTTGACAAGCCAAAGCACCGAATGATGAGAACACAGCGTCCTTGCTGTGGCAGAAAGAACACGTTTCCGCGTGTTTGCACGAGTCATCAGGCCTGCAAGGTGCTCAGCAAGATTGACATGTCGCCTCGAACTCCGCAGCGAGGACTGTGCACCAAGAACGAGACCTTTCAGGATTGTACTTGTTGCAAGGTTTACAACCACCGTAGAAATGGCCGACGCTGCCGGGATTGCCTCGGTGAGACTTGGAGCGGATGGGTTTGGACATGTACAAGCAGCATTAAGCCGAGTTGCATGGATTGTCGGGGTCGACTTTCGATTTTTGGCTGGATGCGGGTTGGTCTGGAACTGGACGGTCAGATGAAGCAGACGGCTGAAGAAGCGGGTCTGCAACAGGGTCTGTGGTGTACATGCGCCACGCTGATCTGCTGTGGCCGCCAAAACCTTGACAACGAACAACACAACCGCCTTTCATTCCGCTGCAGATGGAACTCGAAAACAATCAATCAGCAGCTGAGTACCAAACAACGAAGGTGAAATTCACCCCCCACTGTCAACTATCCAAAACGTCACCATTTGCGTTTTGGGCCAATGGCTTCTGGAATGTGTGGATGCTAAAGCACAGGAGCACCTCTGTTGATAAGATGCTGACAACATACACTGTGTAGAAATTGGACCAAGTAAAGCATTTTTTGCATGTTGGTGCAAAACTTCATTCACCACAAAAGCACGGTGTTTTGAAATAATGCCATGCTGCAGCAGATATTTCTCCACACTTTGCGACAACACCATTGGACTAAAATCCCAAATTCTCTCCCCATTGCATCAAACTTTAAGCCATGACGTCTGCTCACACAAACTTGCCCCCCATCACGGGCCGTTGGAAAATTTTACTATCCGTAATTGCAAGTTGTGACCTATTGCCTTCTGACACGTGCCGCTGGGTTTTTAAACAAAACTTGCCGAGTTCAACGCAAGTGGCGACTGCACAATTCACCACATGCCTGCTCGGCGGCGGGCTGGGAGGAGCCAGCAAACGAAGGGGCTACCAAACCCTATCAACCTATCCATGCCTCCCTCCTGTGCGGCCGTATGCCCAGCAATCAACAGCTCCCCAGAGCCTAGGTGCGAGTGGGTTTGAAAGTGGCTAGCACTGCTTTTTCCAACAAATTCAAGGTCCTTCCAGTGGGAAGAGTTTTGTCAGGGGGATCCTTGGGACATGTGCCCAAGCAAACGCTGCACATTTTTCAGGCCGGTGTCGTCTAAGACGACCTGTTCTTACTTCGGTACCTATAACCCTTCTTATACACAAATGCTTGGTTGAAACAGCTGCTTCCACTTGACTGCAAGGCGTGGGTGTCTCCCGAACTGTGTAAGCGTGTTGAAGAGTGTGTTGATCAAATTCGCCGTGATGTCAGCCCGGCATGAACAGGCACCTGCTTTGTGCAGCAATTTTGATGGGCTCGCCGTTTTTGTGGTATACCTGGTTTTGGGCTGTGGCGTAAGAATGGCATGTTCCATGGAATACATGAAATGTTCTGTGCTATAGACGGCGGACCTGCAGCTAGGGCCGAATGACCAGCTCCTGGACGGAACTTGCGAAACGTAACTGCATGAAAGACTCTCCAATGCGAGTGATTCTAAATAACTGCAATCGTTGTCCACAAAAACCCTAAATACTAAACTTCGTGTGCGACAAGGCCGCACACAAGTGACATTGACCCATACTCACGCAAAAGCGGAATCAATTGGCGTTACTTTTTGGTTTTTGGACACTAAAGATCCTAAAAAGCAGCTAACATTACAATTTTGCTAGGGTTCCCAGTTCAGTATAGGATCATGGCATGTGCTTTGCCATTATTGCGAATGAGTTTGGTGAAGTGGGAATCGATGAGAAGGTGTTCCAAGCATTTGAGAAACAAGCCGCCTCTCTTCATGCCTTCTCCTGGAATGGTTCAAGCCTCTTGAATCCTTTACTTTTGGGTTGTGGAGTTCATACCCCTATTTTTGCAGTATCATGGCTTTCTGAAATCATTTCTTCCGTGACGGATCCAGGAGGCACCTCCCCGGTTCATCTGGGTGTAGAAACCTATGTGTTTCAATCTGGAAAAGCTTTCAGGGGTTATTCACATCCCGCCCAACCTCGCCCAAGGATTCCGAAGGATCGGGGAAGTTGAGGATGTGGTTCAGCTCCGTGGTCTTGCCCGAGCCCAGGAAACCTAGTTCATAGTTGGGATAATATGAAACATTTAAATGTTAAGTACACTTAAGATGCAAAATGTTACCCAACTATGACAGATAAGCCGGTCAGCACCGTGACCAGCACCCGGCTGTCCTTGGGACGCACGTTGTGCTCGGCCATGTTGCGCAGTGTGGCTGGGGGGCGTCTTAACGGCCACAAAAACCCGTGCAGAGAGCAAAAACTCGAAGGCCGCCACGCACGCGCACACACACACACACACACACACACACTCACAAACACACCTTCAAGGAAAAGTTGGCTTAGAATCAGGACCACTACCACTACCACTACCACTACCACTACCACTACCACTACCACTACCACTACCACTTGTTTTTGGTCACGAAGCGAACAAGCGCTGCCTTCGGCTGTTGGGTGAAACTGCTGTCACCAGACTTTGTTTCTGGACAACTTTGCCACCAGCAGTTCATGATTCCTGGTTTCTTTACGTGGTGAGCATGTCCATGGGCTTGCCAGGCCTCCAAACTTGTCCCGGCATGGCGATAGTCAACCCCCCCTGCTCCACCAGGTTGATTAGCAGGGCCTGGTACACAGGCGGGGAAAACTAAGTTTTTGCATAGCTGAGGGCAGCCTGCATCAGCACTGGCAAATTGCCATGCTTCTGAAGGACCATGCACATTGTTTCTTCCCAGGTCTCTGAGCAGCACGATACGCGAAAGACACACCGCCGACAAAACGATACTCATGATCAACAGTTTGCTGAACTCCAAAAGCTCTGCCCTTCTGCCTGAGTGACCTGGGCCTCGAAGTTGTTAACTTCTGCCCCAAGTTCAGTGACGACAGTGATAGAGCCCAGCAGTTTCGCCTGCCCTGGCACTAGGCCAGAAAAGGACACGAACCTCTCTATTCCATGGGCCTCCAGGGTGCCAATTTTCCAAACCTGGGACGGCTTCACCGGCGAGCATAGCAAATCCTGGCCTGCGGGTTCTTCCCTACCCCAACCTTGCAAAGTGGGGCGCTTTGCTACCATTGACATCCCAATACGTCAAAAGAGCTTTTTTTGGGATGCTCTCATGCCAACTGGTTGCCTTCACCAGTTTTATATCCAGCCTGCAAGGTCTGTCCCAATCCACCTCCAGCAGGGAGGTGACTGTGGCCGGGCACAGTCTGATAGGCTCGAAACACTACCACTACCACTACCACTACACCACTACCACTACCACTACACCACTACCACTACACCACTACCACTACACCACTACCACTACACCACTACCACTACACCACTACCACTACACCACTACCACTACACCACTTCCACTACACCACTACCACGACACCACTACCACTACACCACTACCACTACACCACTACCACTATACCACTACCACTATACCACTACCATACCACTACCACTGTACCACTGCCACTATACCACTGCCACTATACCACTACCACTACACCACTGCCACTATACCACTACCACTACACCGCTACCACTATACCACTACCACGATACCACTGCCACGATACCTATACCACCGCCACTGCCACTGCCACTGCCACTGCCACTGCCACTGCCACTTCCACGACCACGACCACGACTATTACCACCACAACTCCTGTCAATGGTCATAGGAAGACAAACAACAAAATCAAGAAACAAAAAAGCCCACCCAACCCACCAAAGCAGCTACAAACAACCAACCAACAAAAGAAAAGGGCGGCCAAACTGCTAAAAGAAACTTCAAGCTTGTCGATGTAGTTCCAGAGCAAACACAAAAAATGCGATTGTGTGCAGAAAAAAACCACCATCACGCAATTAGCAAACAAATGCGCAACCTAAAGGTTAAATGGGCAGCCTGACGGTTGTTTTTTTTTTTGGACCAATGCCTTAAAACTGCAGCAGCAGCGCAGTAGGCCGTTGTACATTGGGGGTAAAAACAGATTCAAACTCTTGGTTGGGCGCAGCTGCAAGCCAGAGTGAGCGGAGGACCTTTCGCTTAAAGCTGCTTCACTGGCTAACCACCATAGAGTGCCCTAGGTCGTTCTTGCCTTGATAGTTCTTGCTGTTAAGTTCCCACTGGCTGACCACCATGGAGCATACGCGTCTTTCCTCTTCTTTAGGAAGTCTGACCTGTAACATCCCTTTGCCAATGGTCTGTTATCTGTTCTTGAATCTGGCAGTATTGCATTTTGACTTCTTGCATGCTCTGTGCCGCATGATTGCCGGAACTTTAACAACAACTTCAAGCACCAAGTGCGTGGGGTTACCTGGCAGTTCAGCGTCTTTGCTTGCTTTGTTTCTTCTGTTTGTTTGTTTCTTGGGTGGTTGCGTGGTGTGTTTGGTGGTTTGCGCGCGCTAACTTTGTTTCACCTTATGTTAAGCCCAACAAGACCAACCTACGGTGCTACTAATGTAGAAAAGAGACATCAGTCCAAAAAAAAAAAGCAGCAGCTACCAATTTCTAGGGGAATGACTGCAAACAGTCAACTCTCACTTTGCTGCAAAAGAAAGGCCAGCGCGCTCTCCATGGTGGTCAGCCAGTGGGAACTTAACAGCAAGAACAAGAACTGCCTTTGGAGAGCCTTCTTGCGCCGCCGCTGCAACACAGGCACCCTTCGGAAAAGCTTCTATACGCTTGAAGTTGTTGCCGATGCGTTGTCAGACTATTGATGGGCATTGCCTTTGCTCAAACGGGGCTTGAGGGCTTAAGGGGAGGAAGCTAAAGGGGCTTAAGGGGGGCAAAGGGAAGGGCTTAAGAGAGGCTCAAGGGGGAGCTCAAGGGGGAGGCTCAAGGGGGGCTTAAGGGGGGGCTTAAGGACGTGGCGCGGGGCTAAGCCAAGAACCCCATGTTTTGTTTTGTTTTGGACATGATTTATATGCTTCCACGCAAGTTTGCCCGGCTTAAACAAGCGGGGGGGTTGGAAGGGCGCAGCTCCCCCCCATGTGCAAACACAATGCTTGCATTAGGCCTCTTAAACTGCTGCCTAAATTCTCCACCGAAGGCCCAGTAGGTATAAAGCCTCTTAGACGTTTTAATCTGCTGCTCGAACCCTCCACAAAAGGCCCAGCAAGTATTCGGCCTCTTAAACTGCTGCCTAAATCCTCCACAGAAGGCCCAGCAAGTATTACGCCTTTCAAACAGCCCAAACCCTCCACAAAAGGCCCAGCAAATCAAGCCTCTTAAACTGCTGCCTAAACCCTC